AAGTTGTAACAACGTTTCAGCAGAATCTCATCTGTCATCATCAGGCTCATCATCATCGTCAGACGAACATAATATAGAAGCCTGATGATGGCAGATGAGATTCTGCCGAAACGTTGCTACAACTTTAAAAGCACAACTATAATGACGTGGGAAAATACCCGAAGAAAGCTGAATACTATATATATATATATATATACTAATTTTAATCTTAAAACTTTTTTTAAAAAAGCACATCAACAGATCAACAGAACATATACTGTAGATCAGAATATACAGATAGTTTCTTAATTGATACTCCAGTTAAAACTCTGATTACGAGTAGTTCTTGACTTATCACAATTGAGCCCAAAATTTCATTGCTAAGCAAGTTAGTTTTCAAATGAGTTGATCCCATTTTACGACCTTTGTTATCACAGTTAAGCAAATCACAGCTGTTGTTAAAATGAGTCATGTCATTATATGAATCTGGTTTGGTTTCCTGCATTGACTTTGCTTGTTAGAAGCTGGCTGGATGGTTACAAATGGTGATCACATGACCCCGGAACAATGCAACTTTCATAAATACATGCCAATTGCCAAGTGCCTGAATTTTGATCAGATGCTTCTTCAATGTGAAAAACTGGGATGCTTCTTCACTGGGATACCTTTTCCGTGTGAAAAACGGTCATAAGTCATTTTTTTCGGTGCTGTTGTAACTTCAGTCACTAAACAAACGGTTGTAAGTCAAGGACTACCTATATAACATTCTTGTTCAAGTATAGAAAGAGAAAGAAAGCTTCAAGCTATTGTGTAATTGATATAATTAACATAAAATTGATCCCTTCCATCCTTATTAGTAAATACATTTAATTCCCCCCCAATTATATTTATTTTGTGGGCCTAACGGGCCCAGTGCCTTTAAAAGTGTAGGGTTTGATCCAAGGATCATGTGTTCAGTAATGAGAATGTATTGATATATTTCTCTTGAACTTAATTTTTCTCATACTCAGGTGAAAGCTTCATTTAATGAAAATACAAAATGTTATGAAATAAAATCACATCTAGGCTATCAGAAATACAAAGAAGTATATATTTCTTATGGCCCTCATGACAACCAGCGACTACTTCTAGAATATGGTTTTGTGGCTTCTGATAATCCCCACAGCTGTGTGCATGTTAGTACAGGTAAGACTATGGCTAGAAAATCTTAGAACAATGAAAGCCCATCTCTTTCTCTTAGACCTTTGGATACTATCAGTTCCCTACAATTGAATCCTACAAGTAGTCTGATACACTAGGATGAGATGCTGGGGAATAAAAAAAAAGTGCTAGCCCACAATCCTTTTGGTGATATTGCTTTTGTTCAAACCTTTCCTGTGATATCCTTATGTACCTTCACAAATTTCTTAAACGGGTTCTCAAGACTGTGGGTTATGACTTGTGTCCACAAGAATACGTGTACAGAATATTTTCATTTCTTTAATATCTAATAGATCCTTTAATGACCCTGTAATCTCTTGCATTGGGGTGGAGTCGGGACAACTGAATGGAGCTGAGTGTTTACTGGCCAGATGCCCTTCCTTTCGCCAATGCAGGGTTCGCAGCTGATATTTACTCATTGTACCCAGAGAGAGAAATATCTGCCCCTACCTAGGATCCAACTCACAGCTTCCTGATTTGTGAGGCGAGAGCTCCATCTTCAGGCCACTGCACCACTTTTCTTTAATATTTAATAGATATGTTAATAATATTAACTAGTACAGAATGCTTAAAATATCAGCGTTGCAAAAGTATTAATGCTTTTATTTGTTTTAAACACTTTATTTTAACTTTCTTTAGATACATTGCTTAAATATGTTTATTCAGAAGACAAACAGAAATCTATGAAACTTTTCATTTTACGAGAGCACAAGTTGTTAGAGTAAGTCATCTTTACATCTTTATAGTATAAGTTTAGAAGATTTCGCATTAAACTTTGTTTGTGGATTTGAAGTAATGAAAATAAATTTGTGCAGGGTTTGTTGCTTCTGGATGGATCCTGACTAAACACAGGAATTTTGCTTAACACTGGAACACATCCTACAATGTATCTTAGTTGAAGATTGTGCTAATATGCATGGTTTGGAACTTAAGAAATTTGTGTACTTTATAATCCTGTTCCTGACACAGATTTTACTGTAGTTAGTCAATATTTTATATACATTTGTTTCTATAAACACAATAATAAAATCATGGACTGCTACTTTTTGATTTAGGGATGGGATATATGGAAATTTTATAGGAAAATGCATATTAAGAGTTCATGTAATTAAGAATTAATTTCCAGCAATAGTTGGATAGTAGCTCTCTAAGTAAATGTATTTAGTATATTGTTTTTCCTTTCCTTTCCTTTTTTTAAAGTACTATGGAGTATTGAGGCAGTTGGTGAAGTGAGAAAGACAGTATTTTCTCTCTTAGGATATGAAATCAATTGAATTTAGATTTTTTTTAAAATACTTTTTTTCCTAGTGATCTGACATTTGGCTGGGATGGACCATCTTGGACACTTCTTACAGCCCTTAAATTGTTATGTCTTGAAGCAGATGAATTGTAAGTTGCAAACATTTGCTGAAAATGATTCATTTGAGAAAATGTCACTTGAAATGTCATTTTCTTGCTTTGTATGAATATCTGATACATACAAATATATTCAAAATTTATAACTCTAGTACTTTATGGAAAAAAGTAGTGCTTGGAGATGTTGCTTCAACGAAGAATGAAGAAAAGAGTGTGGCTTTTGCAACAAAAATATGTATGTCATTGATGGAAGAAACTCAGCATGTACTTCAGAAGGTACTTTTAATACTTAACTGCTCCAATGTAAAATTTGAGAGTGGAATGTTTTAAATTATTAAGATTAAAAAAAAAAGAGATTCCTCTTAGAGCCGAAAGTGTCTTGCCATATATCAGCTTATCTCTAGCCAGTAAAGGTCAGGAATTTATAAAGAAGATGTTTGGCTCTGATAAATATTCAAGAAGAAAGAACTCTTCAACTGTGCAGCAGTTAAAAATGTTGGTTTACTGCACTCCTAATAATAATGGAATAGATGAATTACTTGTTATTATTAGAGATCGTAGATTAACAAGTTAGACTTTGTAGCAATTTTTCTAGAGATGTAAAATAAATTGAAATAGATCAGTGTCACCCAAAACTAGAGGTGTAAGGCTTTTCATTATCACAGCCAGCATGCAACTGCAACAATAAAGCTGGAAATGACTATTTAAAGCTATTGAGTCCAACTTTTTTCTATTACAGTAATCCAGATAAAAGTGTTTGTGGTTAGTTCTACTATCATAACAACAAATACTGTTGGACAATTTTCTCTAAAATCAAGTAGAATCTGCCATCCTACACTTACTATTATTGTGTGTTCTGAACAATTACTGTATTATATAAATATTTTAAAATAATAAATGAAAATTTGACTTTATGAGTAAATTTATTTAACAACCAGAGAGCTTTAAAGTATAATTTTGTTTTTTCTTTCCAGGTTTCAGTTTTAAAAAATCATTATGAACATCTTGTGAATCAACTGGATTTGGTGGAAGCATTGCATACAGAAAATCTAAGAATCCTGCAGCTTTCATATGAGATTCTTCAGCATTTATCCTCCACAACCATGTAATTTTCCCAAAACAAAATTGTGCTAGTCCCTGCAACAATAAAACAACTTAATATTCAGCGTGAACATTTTGTAAAATATAAACAGAAAAAACAAACAAACCAAGAATGCATAGATCTTTAAAGTCCTTTAAGTAAGACTGCATTAATCAGAGAGAAAACGTTGGACCAAAACATTTTAAAAAGGGCAATAATGAGGCCAAAAGGATATGTAGTCTAAATGATGATTTAGAGCAGGCTTGTCCAACCCGCGGCCCATGGGCCGCATGCGGCCCAGGTCGCCTCGTAATGCGGCCCAACGCCCACCCCAACCTTCATGAAAGATCCAGCGAGGAGGAGGAGGAGAGGCAGGCGCGAGGCGGGGCGAGGCGAGCAACAGAAAAGGCGGGCAGCCGC